CCCATCAATTTATGATCTCATCAGTGGACTAACCCACAGGTGTTAGAAATCAGAGCCCCCCCCCACTGTCTAGTCACTTCTCCCAAATAATCAAGTCTTCAATACAGTGAGACTCTTTTTTTTTTTGGTGGAACCAGGGACTGAACTCAGGCCCTTGCACTTGCCAGTGAAACGGTTATTCTACTGAGCTAGCTCCCTGGCCCCTACAGTGAGACTCTTTGGCAGCCATGACACTTAAAGAGAAAAGTCAGCTTTTAAACATGGGGATTATAGGGATTCATAAAATAATATATAACATCAAAATTTTATTTTTAATTGAAAACATAAGCAGGTGTATTTGCTCATCATTCCCTTGATGCCAGACTAAATAAAACCTTTCTCCTCTCCTTTCCCCTCCCCTTCCCCTTCTCCCTTTCTTCCCTCTGTCTCTCTCCCCACTTTCATTCTTTAAGTGCAAGCCTGTGCCTAAGGCATCTATTAACACAGTAAGGAGCATTACCAACTTCACTTTCAGTGCAGTGAGGGCTTATTTGTAAAGCAAAATGAGACTTAAACTGCTCTATATTTTGGTATTTCCCTTCTGCACCTAAACTTTTGCAGTTGTTTCGCCCACACCTAATTCCACAGCACTTTTGTTAAAACAAAACAACAAAAAGTCTATCACTTTTCCCCCAAACTTACAATTTATCATAGCAATTACAACTCTCTTCGCACTTATAATTGATTTGGTAAGACTGAATTAAATTCTGTAATTATAAGGTAAAACTCACAGAAAAAGACTCGGAACAAATACAACTAACTGATCTGGGCAGAGACGTGATCCACCCATGAGGGAACAGGCTCCTTACCAGCTGTGAGAGCACGTGGGGCCTCTGGCATCACACAGAGCAGAGGCTGGTTCCAGCATCGTGAAAAGAAAGCTGAGTTGGTTGAAGGAGTGGAAACCAAGCTCAGGAGTGAGCAGCGCTCCAACTTACATGGAGACAGGAAGTGCTGAAATGCAGGGGGCTAACAGCAAGACTGGGCCAAGCCATCCTTTGCTAGGCCTCTAGTGGAGTCTAACAGGGATTTTCTACAGGCAGACAAAATTTCGGCACCCCCCTTGGAACACAGTTAGTGTCATATACTTGTCTCAGGGCTGTAAAACATGAAAATATATCACCCTTTGAGAGTGGCAAAAAAGTAACTGTTTCTAGGTATATTTAATGAAGTATTAAAGTGTACAGTGCTCTTAAAAATGGCTTGGAGGGCCGGGGAGATGGCTCAGTGGAATAATCACTTCCCTGGCAAGCGGAAGGGCCTGAGTTCAATCCCTGGTCCTGCCAAAAAAAAGAAAAGAAAAAGAAAAATGGCTTGGAAACTAAGGTTAACAAAAGTCTCCAAAAACATGGAAACAAAGCTTTTGTAAATGGGGAGGGGAGAGGGGATTGAAGGGACAGTAAGGGAACGGGAAAAACACCCAAGCTATATCCCGTACAGGCACAAATTCTCTATGATGAATGTGAAGTTATGTAGATTTCAAATGTACCAATAAAATCTAATTTAAAAAGTGTCCAAGAGCACCCATTTGCTCTTTGGTAGGGGAGAGACTATCTACTATGTACCCTGCCTACTAGGGCCCTCTTGTGATGATGAAGCAGACCTACAGCAGGGATTTTGAGTTTTAAGATGAAAAGTAGCTGAGAGAGCTCCTCACTTACCATCATGAACGGTGAGATGTGCTGACTGAGCCCTTGGAATGATAAAAGGGTCATATTTGTGTGGGCCATGGAAGCAGAAGTGTACCTCCCAGACTCCCCTAAAAGGCCTAAAATGAAATCACAATACCAGTAAAAAACAAAACCATACCACGACCACCAGTTACCACCACAGTTCATGAGTAGTAACATGCAGACCCAGATTGAAGTTCTGGGCAGAATGACCTGGAGCCTGACAGCCATGTTTGGCTCCGTTTGGGCAAATCTTATTGAATGTATTTACTTATTTAGTTTTTAATTTTATTTTTTATTCATTTTAATGAGAAAAAAAGGATAAAATAGCAATGAAATAGTTTCAAAACAGGTTAGTAGGATAGTTACAATAATTAATACATTGCATTTTGTTGACTTCATAGTAGTTATTCAGAGGACAAGATGCAAACATGATATCTTTGTCTAAACAATCTTGTTGAATTTAAATTAGTCTTTAAAAATTACCTATTGTTTTGTCTCATGTAGATGAACTACTTTAAAACTACAAAGACTTTCAGAGAGGTAAATCTAGAGTTTCCTAATTAGCATTTAAGAAGATCACTAACTCATAAAATCTCGATTTTAAAAGGTTTAACAAGGTCTCCAAAAGGACAACACAAGAGTATGGTCTACATCTGGAACTCTAGAGCCCAAATGCTGAGTGACTTTGGACAGTCACTTAACCTCTCTCCACAGCTGCAAAATAATTACTTAATTAAAAGAATTAAAGGAGCTAACATGTAATGCATGAGCTATGTGTAAACTGTCCATAATAGTGTCTGATATATATGCACTAAGCTCTACGCAAATTTAATAGAAGCAAAAATATGTAAAGAGTGGACTGGGTATATCTTAGGGTTAGGCATATTTTCAATATTCTCCCACACAATATTCTTACTGTCAAAAGATTTTGTTAATGATACTGCCTATTAAGCCTAGACAACTTACGCTGATGTTTAATAAAACTGACACTGTATTTATGGTCAGTTCTAAGGTAAGTGTGGTTTAAAAAAAAATCTGGTCATTGTCCCTATTCCTGGAATAGACAAGCTCAAACCTCTGGAATTTACTGTCTTATGTATACTAATAGGAACAAATGACTCAGGTGGGAACTTTCAGTCCTGCCCCCTAAAACTTCATGGAGGGTAGAGAGGCGGTAGACTGGGTAAAGAACTGAACACCGACACTGGCAGAGCTGCTGGTGGGCGAACACACTGGTGTGTGGGAAGAAATGTAGTGTCATCCACATGCCTATCTCTTGGCTTCTCTATCTCTTCCACTTGGCTGTTCCTGAGTTGTATCCTTTATCATGGAACAGTAATAATATTACTCCACTTTCCTGAGTTCTGTGAGTCATTCTAGAGAATTACTGAACCAGAGCAGATGACCATGGGACTAAGTTTATACAGTAGTTAGGCAGCATAATTGTTATCTTTGGCCTCCTTGCAGCTACCATATAAGGTACTAACTAACAGTCTCGGGGACTAAGCCCTTAATCTGTGGGGGTCTAGGCCAACCCAAAATAGTGTTGGAAATGAACTGAATTGATAGATACACAGTTGGCAGTTGGCAACGGAGACTGGTTGTTGGTGTTGGAAAAAAAAATCAAGTTACACTGATTTGGAACAATTGGTCATTGTACCATCACTTTAAGAAATTTAAGTTTTTTCTCTAACAATATTTAAAATTAAATTTTGGCTTTTTTGAGACAGGGTCTTGCTAGTCCAGGCTGGCTTCAACTCACAGCAGTCCTCTTGCCTCAACCTCCCCAGTGCTGGGTTTATAGACATACACTTCCATACCCTGCAAAATCTTAGTGTTTTAATATCCTTTTTTGTTTTTCTTGTACTAGGGATTGAACCCAAGGTCTTGACACTGAGATACATCCTCTGCCCTTTTTTATTTTGAGACAATGTCTCTCAAGGTCAGTAAGCTGTCTAGGCTGGGCTGAGTTTGTGATTCTTTCCTGCTTAAGGCTCCCAGAGTGCTGGGATTACAGGCGTTTACCATCATGTTAGTATCTCAGTATAAGTCTATTACTTAGCATTAATGTCAACTGATGCAAAATTTGAAAAGATGCACTTGAATTATTCAAAAAATGTAATTCAGTAGTAGTATGTGCTTAGCATGTATGAGGCACCAAGTCAAACAAACAAAACACTGGGATTACAATAAAACTCTCAATATTTTTGCCAACTATGAAATCAGAGAAGTACGCCAAATTAAAAAACTAGTGATTAGTGTTATACCAAAATAATTTCATAAGTTTAGAAAAATTTCAAAATCTTTTACATTTTTTATCCTTAAAAACCAAGGAATAGGGGCCAGGGAGATAGTGCAGTAGAATAAGTGCTTGCCTGTCAAGCACAGGGTCCTGAGTTCAATTCCCGGTACTGTAAAAAAAAAACAAAACCCAAAAACCCAAAAAAACAAGGAACACCACTAAATACTCATATACTTGTCATTTTAGTCAGGCATCATTCTATTTGAATTTGTATACTACTGAAGAGATCTTTCTCTAATCACATTTGTTTTACTGAAAAAACGGTATATATATTTTTTTCCTTCCTTAAAAATGAAGTTGAGTCTAAGCTAATTTGATAGCTAAACTTTCACCTGAGCTGGGTGTGGTGATACACGCCTGTAATCTCAGCATTCTGGAGGCTGAGGCAAATAGATCATTGCAAATTTGAGGCCAACCTGGACTCCAGAGTGAGTTTAAGGCCAGCTTGAACAACAGAACAAAATCCTATTTCGAACACCCTCCACATACAAAATAAATAAAATTTCACCTGAAATTTTAAAGTTACAAATCCACAAGAAGAAATGGAAATTATGTTACATATCAAAAAATTAATAATAAAAATTAAGATACATGTATTGGAAAGATTAATGCAAGGAGCCAAAGTGAGTAAAGTATACTCACTAGAAGTCCTGCCACCAGCAATTTTATTTAGTATATGACAGAATATAAATACATAACAATATATCTTTTCTTATCACAGGTAGATTTTACATAACAAATTTGTGGCTGACAGATATCAAAAGAAAAATGGAAATTTGTAAGTTATCAGAAAAGGAACAAGAGTATAGGAAAATAATACATTTTATATCAATTACAAAGGATAGTTACAATGAAAATCCATTACTGTTCTCTCCAACTTAACTGTATAACATAAAGTCAACACATATTATGCTGTGAGCTGGTAAGGATGCATGAACACTGTGGGCTTTCAAAAGACAACAGACACACAGGACATTAGTTATCTGAGTATCACATGCAGCCCTCAGTTCTTAACTGGAGTTGAGCTTCCTTTCGTAGTCTTCTTTAGATGGTGGTAATTTGGCAAGATTTTCATCAAGAAATCCAGCTGGAGTGTCTGGGGCTAAAAGGATAAGATAATTAATGACTAGCTGGCTGGTAGAAAGCAAAGTCAAGAACGGCAGTCCCGAGCTGGATAGAGCCCAGGGAGACAGCATGTGCCCAGCACACATGGGCCTGGGGCTTCAATCCCTAGGGTGAGGCTAGGGGCGATTTGGGAAACACTGCTGCACACTATTAAAAATTAAACACCAGATATTCAAGCTTACTTAATTTTAATCTGCATTCCCCACTCCAGCTTCATTTCTCCTTCTTTAATCATTTTGCTGTTATGGAGAAGGATGGTAACAAATACTAGATCTTCTCACTATAGTATACAGAAGTAAAAGTACTACTCCTACTTCTACTATTACTACTAATTTGTTTTGGCTTTTGGTACCAAAAATTGAACTCATGACCTCACACTTGCCAGGCAGGCACTGTGCTGCTAAGCTACATCCCCAACACAATGATAATAATAAAAAATAGTAAGGCCAAATATTACAAAATTAAAGTAATTCAGAAAGAAGTGAATTTTTTCCTTTTTTCTTTTTTTTACTAGGACTAAAACTCAGGATCCCCTGCTTGCCAGGCAGGTGCCATTGAGCTAAATCCCCAGCCCAGACCTGGAGTTTTAATTTCTGATAAAATGCAGCTAGCAATCAGAAGTAAAATGGCACACATTCTGAAAATATTTTCTTTGGGGTAAGGAAAAGGAGACTGTATAATTAAAGAAATGCATACTGAATATGCAAAGAGGCTCAAACCTTCAATCTAAATTGCTTATGTTGGGGCCTGGGAGATGGCTCAGTGGAATAAGCGCTCCCTGGCAAGCACAAGGGCCTGAGTTCAATTCCTGGTTCTGCCAAATAAATAAATAAATAAATAAACAAATAAATAAATAAATAAATGGCTTACGTCCTTTGCCTGAAAATAAATGACTTACATCCAAACATGCCTTTTCATCACCTACCCTAACATTAAATGTGTTCTTCATTTTTCTTACTCTGGGTTACTGACAGCGAGAATTTTTTGTAAACCAGAAAAATATCTAAACACACTTTGCTTATGCCCAAGTGGGGTTTACAATCAATTATAATGTTATGTTAATAAATGAATAAAAACAGACACAAGTTCAAGGCCCTATATGAATGTGGCAGGGTCAGTCCTTGGCCTTGATGATTGACATTTTAGTACTAATGTGGTTTGATAGGTTTGATGATACAACTTAAATAAAAATGTATAAAGCCGAAAACAACTTTGGTTTTCTTTTCTCATAATTGACTTCTCATTGTCATCCATATATTTGATATTAATTTTAGGACTAATAATAGAGCTGCAAGTACATTTAGGCTTTGGGAACATTTCTCTGATGTTTTATTCATTTGCTTTTTTCTTTTGGGGCAGAGGGGGGCTTGTGGCTCAAACCCCAGGTCTTGTGAATGGTGTGCACATGCTCTGAGCTGTATTTCTAGACCTTAATCGTTTGTTTTTTAAATGGTGTACTTGCTGCCTTTTAGGACAATTACATGGTATTTTGGGAGTGGTATTTTAGCTCCCTTACATGGAAGACTCATTTATTTGAGAGAGGGTTGCATTATGCAGTTCAGGCTGGCCTTGAACTCACTTTGTAGACCAGATTGGCCTTGAACTCTCAAGAGATCCTCCTGCTTTAGGCTCAAGTGAGTGCCAGGATTAGAGATTACAGGCTGGATTGTGCTACCTCACCTGGTGATGGAATGTTTTGTCTTTTTTTTTTTT